CCATCCCCGCTGTCCCCTCCACCCCCCTGTCCCGGTATCCCGCTGTCCCCTCCATCCCCGCTGTCCCCCCGCTGTCCCCTCCGTCCCCGGTGTCCCGGTGCCGGTGCCGCCGCTCACCGCCGCCCGCCCATGTTTGCCGGGCCGGGCCCGCCCGGGGCCGTTTTAGCGGCGGGGGCGGGGAGGGGCGGGCGGCGGCGGGGCCGGTGCCGGGGCCAGCCAATCCCGGCCCGCCGCACCGGAACCGGGACCGAACCGGGCCGGGACCGGGACAGGACCGGGACAGAACCGGGACAGGACCGGGACAGAACCGGGACAGGACCGGCGCCGTTTTAGCGGGGAGGCGGCGGGACCGGTTCCGCGGCCAGCCAATCCCGGCCCGCCGCACCGGAACCGGGACCGAACCGGGACAGAAACGGAACCGCAATGGGACGGAACCGGGCCAGGACGGTGATGGAACCGGAACTGCAACGAGACCGCAGCGGAACCGCAATGGGACCGGAACCGGGACAGAACCGGAACTGCGCCGGGACCGCAGCGGGACCGGAACCGAGACTGCACCGGGACAGAACCGGGACAGAACCGGGACCGACTGGAGCACCGGGACCGCACAGGGATTGCACCGGAACCAACTGCAGCACCGGGGTAGAACCGGAACCGCAGTGGGACTGGAACCGGGACTGCACCGGGACAGAACCGGGATAGAACCGGGACTGGACCGGGGCTGCGGTCCCGGTTCTCTCCCAGTTCTGTCTTGGTTCTGCCCCGGTTCTGTCCCGGTCCTGTCCCGGTTCTCTCCCGATCCTGTCCCGGTTCTGTCCCGGTTCTCTCCCGATCCTGCCCCGGTTCTGTCCCGGTTCTCTCCCGGTCCTCTCCCGGTCCTGTCCCGGGTCTGTTTCGGTTCTGTCCCGGCTCTCTCCCGGTTCTGTCCCGGGTCTCTCCCGGTTCTGTCCCGGTGTAGATTTGGGGTTTCCATAAGCAGATTTTGTATTTACACATGCAAATTTTGGATTTCCATATGCAGATTAGGGATTTCCATATGCAAATTTGGGGGTCCCATCCCAGCCGGTGCTGCGGTCCCGTTCCCGGGCCCCGGCGCTGCCGGTGCCGGTACCGGGTGTCGGTACCGGGTGGGAATGTCGGTACCGGGTGTCGGTACCGGGTAGGGATGGCGGTACCGGGTGGGGATGCCGGTACCGGGTGGCGGTACCGGTGTCGGTGTCGCTGTCCCGGGGGCGGTACCGAGTACCGGGTGTCGGTGTCGGTGTCCCGGGGCTGTCCCGGGGCGGTCCCGGGTACCGGTACCCGGTCCCGGTGTCCCGTGGCAGTATCAGGGTGGGGGTTGGGTGGCGGTACCGGGGGCGGTCCCGGGTGTTTGTGGGGGTGTCGCTGTCCCGTGCCTGTCCCGGTACCGGTGCCGGTGCCGGTGCCGCACGAGGCTCCTTTGATGCCTCAAGGCCGCTTTGAGCCGGGCGGGGCGGGGCGGGGTCACTATAGAAGTGACCCCATAAAAAAATCCCATAAAAACCCAAAAAAACGATCCTAAAAACCCAAACCCCACAGAAATGAACCCAAAAAAACGATCCTAGAAACCCAAACCCCACAGAAATGAACCCAAAAAAACGATCCTAGAAACCAAACCCCATAAAAATGAACCCAAAAAAACGATCCTATAAACCCAAACCCCACAGAAATGAACCCAAAAAAACGATCCTAGAAACCCAAACCCCACAGAAATGAACCCAAAAAACGATCCTAGAAACCCAAACCCCAGAAAAATGAACCCAAAAAACGATCCTAGAAACCCAAACCCCACAGAAATGAACCCAAAAAAACCGATCCTAGAAACCCAAACCCCACAGAAATGAACCCAAAAAAACGATCCTAAAAACCAAAACCCATAAAAATGAACCCAAAAAAACGATCCTAGAAACCCAAACCCCACAGAAATGAACCCAAAAAAACGATCCTAGAAACCCAAACCCCATAAAAATGAACCCAAAAACCGATCCTAGAAACCCAAACCCCACAGAAATGAACCCAAAAAAACGATCCTAGAAACCCAAACCCCACAGAAATGAACCCAAAAAAACGATCCTAGAAACCCAAACCCCATAAAAACCCCAAAAAAACGATCCTAGAAACCAAAACCCACAAAAATGAACCCAAAAAAAGGATCCTACAAAACCAAAACCCACAGAAATGAACCCAAAAAAAGGATCCTACAAAACCAAAACCCACAAAAATGAACCCAAAAAAACGATCCTATAAACCCAAACCCCATAAAAACCCCAAAAAACGATCCTAGAAACCCAAACCCCACAGAAATGAACCCAAAAACCGATCCTAGAAACCCAAACCCCAGAAAAACCCCCCGAACCGAAATCCCATAAAATCGACCTCATAAAAATCAATCCCATGGCATTTTCATGGGATTTTCAAGGGATTTTTTGGGAATTTAATGGGATTTTTATGTGGGAATTTAATGGGATTTTAAAGGGGATTTTAATGGGATTTATATGGGATTTTATGGGAATTTAAAATGGATTTTCATAGGATTTTCATGGGGTTTTAATGGGATTTATATGGGATTTTCATGGGGTTTTTTCGGTTTTTATAGGGATTTAATGGGATTTTCATGGGGTTTTTATATGAGATTTTATGGGAATTTTATGGGATTTTGTTTACTTTAATAGGATTTTTATGGGGTTATAAGAGAATTTATATGGGATTTTATGGGATTTAATGGGTTTTTTATATGGGATTTTAATGGGTTTTTTATATGGGATTTTAATGGGATTTTATGGGATTTTTATAGGATTTTAATGGGATTTTAATATCGGATTTTTATATCGGATTTTTATGGGATTTTTTTGGATTTTAATGGGATTTTAATGGGATTTTCATGGGATTTTCATGGGGATTTTATGGGGGTTTTTATGGGATTTTAGTGGGATTTTATAGGATTTTTATACAATTTATATGGGATTTTCACGGGATTTTTTAGCATTTTTATGGCATTTTATAGAATTTTTAGGGAATTTAAATGGGATTTTTTCTGGGTTTTTTAAAATTTCAATGGGATTTTTATGGGATTTTTATATCGGATTTTTATGGGATTTTCATGGGATTTTAATGGGATTATAATGGGATTTTTATATCGGATTTTTATGGGGTTTAATGGGATTTTTATATGGGATTTAATGGTATTTTTATGGGATTTTTATGGGGTTTTAATAGGGTTTTAATCGGATTTTAATGGGATTTTTTATATGGGGTTTTATGGGGTTTTAATGGGATTTTAAGGGAAATTAAAATGGATTTTATGGGATTTTAATGGGGTTTTAATGGAATTTTTATGGAATTATTCTGGGATTTTTATATCAGATTTTTAATGAGGTTTTTAATGGAATTTCTTTTGAATTTTATGGGATTTCAATGGAATTTTTATGGGATTTTTATGGATTTTTTATGGGATTTTTATATGGGCTTTTAAATTAGGTTTTTTATGGAATTTCTTTGGAATTTTATGGGATTTCAATTGAATTTCAATGGAACTTTTATGGAATGTTTATGGGATTTTTATGGAATTTCAATTGGATTTCAATGGAATTTTATGGGATTTTTAGATGCAATTTTTAATGAGGTTTTTTTTAATGGAATTTATTTGGAATTTTATGGGATTTTTATGGGATTCCAATAGAATTTAATGGAATTTTTACAGAATTTAAATGGATTTTTTATGGGATTTCAATGGGATTTTTATATGGGATTTTTTATGAGGTTTTTATGGAATTTCTTTGGATTTTTATGGGATTTCAATGGGATGTAATGGAATTTTTATGGCATTTTTATGGAATTTTAATGGGATTTTTAATGAGCTTTTTATGGAATTTCTTTAGAATTTTATGGAATTTTTATTGGATTTTTATGGGATTTTAGTGGGATTCCAATAGAATTTAATGGAATTTTTATGGAAGTTTTTGGGATTTTTGTGGGATTTTTAATGAGGATTTTTAATGGAATATCTTTGGAATTTTATGAGATTTTAATGGGATTTAATGGAATTTTTATGGGAATTTTATATGCGATTTTTAATGAGGTTTTTTTATGGAATTTCTTTGGAATTTTATGGGATTTCAATGGAATTTATTGGAATTTTTATGGAATTTCTTTGGAATTTTATGGAATTTTTAAGGGATTTTAATGGGGGGGGGGTGGATTTTGGGGGTCCCGGGATCTCTGGGGGGGTTCGGGTCTGTCCCGGTTTGTCCCGGTTTGTCCCGGGTCAGCGCTCCTAGTTGAACACGTACTAGTCGTGCACGTCCATGAGCCGGTTTATCCCGGGTTATCCCGGTTTATCCCGGGTTACAGTTCAGCATGTAACCGGTTTATCCTGGTTTATCCCGGGTTATCCCGGTTTATCCCAGGTTACAGTTCAGCATGTAACCGGTTTATCCTGGTTTATCCCGGGTTGTCCTGGGTTTATCCCGGTTTATCCCGGGTTTATCCCAGGTTACAGTTCAGCATATAACCGGTTTATCCTGGTTTATCTGGTTTATCCCGGTTTATCCCGGGTTATCCCAGGTTACAGTTCAGCATGTAACCGATTTATCCTGGTTTATCCCGGGTTATCCTGGTTTATCCCAGGTTATCCAGGTTATCCCGCTTTATCCTGGGTTACAACGCAGCATGTAGCTGGTTTATTTGGTTTATCTGGTTTATCCCGGGTTTATCCCGGGTTATCCCGGGTTAGCGCAGTGCAGCACGTAGTAGTCGTGCACATACATGAGCACGGCCACGGGCTGGCCCAGGATCAGCGAGAGC